GGGGTCGAAGGAGGCGGGGGGAGGGCGGGGGGAGGACGTGCCGAGCAGGAGGAGAGCGTAGACAGGGGAAGGCGGGGAGGAGGGGGAGGAAGGGGGAGGGGGAGGGAGGGGGACGAAAACTAAGGTGGTAGGCTGGGGACATCCACGAGGAGGAAGGAGGGTGGGGGGCAGGGAGGGAAGGAAGGGGGGAGGGGGCGAATGAATGAATGAGGAAGGTCGGAGATGGTAGAGAAAGGCAGGTGCGTGGAAGGTCGCAAGGGAGGGAGGGAGGGAGGGAGGGAGGGAGGGAGAAGAGAAATTCAGCCTTCTCTTCCTCCTCTCCCTCCATGTTGGCTTTCCTTTCCTACTACTCACACCCAAGGCGACGCTTTCCACGTCCCCCTCAGGCACGTCAACGGAGGAGGAGGAGGAGGAGGAGGAGAAGGAGGAAAACCGATGCGTGAAGGCAAGGAGGCTTTCGGCCACGCGGAGGAGGTGGAGGTGGGATGAGAGGGGTAGGGAGTCTGTGGGAGGATTGAGATGAGGAATGGAAAAGCGGCGAGTGACGGGAGGTTGGAAAACGAGTAAGGGAGGAAGGAGCCCGTCGACTTCAATGCCGATGTGGGAGAATCTGAGAATCTAAGGTACACGTTCCACATCCATCCTCCTCTCCTCTTTGACAGCACTTCCTCCAAACAAACCTGGCCACGCGTATAAAAGTCGATCAGCCCGCTCTTCCTCCGAGGCGCCTTCCTCATCGCTACCTAAGCCTTCGTGGACAAACAGCAATTGCAAAACCCCGCCCGCCATCAGGTTGAACGACAGAAGCGGATGTGGTGGTTGTATGCTTTCTGTTATTTGTTCGGCGCCCGCGGAGGGAGAAAGGGAGGAAGGGAGGGAGGAAGGGAGGAAGGGAAGGTGGTAGGGAGAAGCAGATCGGGAAGAGAAAGTGTAGGCGGCGGAAAACCAAGTGAGGGAAGGAGCATAGAGTCGTAAAAGATGAGAGACAGGATATTGTTGCAAAAAAGGTGAAATAAAGAGCAAACGACAGGGAGGGAGGGAGGGAAGGAGGAAGGGGGGGAGGGGAGGTCGAGGGAAAGGTCAAGCAGGGTAGCCAGGGGAAGGCACATGGCACGTCAAATACGTTTTTGCATTTTTTTAAATACGCTGTCATGAAAAGCAGTGGCTTGGTGCTTCGTGTGACCATGTTTATGTGCCAGCGATGAATGTTTGTGCATTTTTAATACCAATCAAGTGGCCTAAGCAAAGATGGTGTCGATACCGGTCCAACCCCGTTGGGTAGTGGAAGGAAGGAGGAAAACACGCGGTTTCATGCCGTCAAAAAGCCTGGACACTGGTCCGAGGTGAAATTCGCGGGTGAAAATCTAACTACATGCCAATTACGGTGTCTTTTGGACTTGACATGTGGTTTTTCGCTCTCTGTGACTGCTCTCCCCCCCTCCCCTCCCCCTCCCGAGGGTACTAAATGCTACTTCAGCATTCACAAAAGCAACGCCGGCCAGACCCCTACATAACTATCCCAATGTTATCGGTAGCCAGCTGGTGGGTGGCATGACCGGAAAGAGGACAATTGCGTCGGCGCCTCTGCTCCCCTCGTACCTGATAAAGGTCATGAGCCTGATTAGCCGCCGGCCTTGCTCGTTTCATTTTTAGACATCTCCTTTCAAAACAGGCAGAGGTCCTGGTGAGTCATGCTGCTGGAAGAGGCTGCAGCCGTCTTGGGCGTGCCCATTGATGCAGCATTGGCGACCATCAAATGCGCGTACAGAGGCCGGGCCTTACGAGATGGCCGGAGGGGGCAGGTGAGTCAACAGGAAGGGAGGGAGGGAGGGAGGGAGGGAGGGGAGGGAGGGAGGGAGGGAAGGAGGGAGGAGGAAGTCGAGTGGAGGGAGGAAGGAGGAAGGGAGGGAGGGAAGG